CATTCTAAATTTATGATGCAATGTGCATTTACATCAGAACAAATCTTTTTCAACAGAATTGGTTTTAATTTCTCAGTAAAAATATGTAGATTGTGCAATAACAACATTGTGGAGTTGAGGTGCTTATGCCTGCACTCAACAAAATTCTCCCCCCCCCCATCTCTTATTAACAAACAAGATTTGAGTAACAATCTCAACATGTGTTTATTTCAGCTAATAAAAACCTCTGATTTGGATCCCAATCAAAATTACCTCTTTGGATTCCATCCTCATGGTGTCCTTGTGGCTGGAGCCTTTGGAAACTTTTGCACAGAGTACACAGGATTTCAGCAGTTATTCCCTGGTCTAACTCCATACCTCCACACCTTGCCTTTCTGGTTTCGAATTCCTTTTTTTAGAGATTATATTATGTGTGCGGGTAAGTAATATTGAATTACTTTAGCAATTATCTCAGAAGGGTTTCTTTTAAGCCATCCACCCCTACCTGGCATTTGGTGGCAGTGGTTAGGATAAGTGGATGTAGTTGGTGGCAGCAGAGAGATAGGCAGAACCTCACAGAGACCAACTCTAAAGTGCCTAAGTTTCCCATTCCAGAATTTAGATTCTGGCCTCTAGAAGGCTCTTCACAATTTCAGATAAATCGTGAGAGAGTCACATCATTCTCAATTTTTGTTTTTTGGGGGGATTACCTGGCAGTATATAAGGTGGTTAACAGTAGATCAAAAGCCAAGCAACTTTGTTTTCTGAGTGAAATGAAGAAAAATGCTGAATTTGTTCTGAATTTATAGATGTAAAATGCATAATGTGAAAACATTTAGTAATTCATCACAAATAATGTGTTTCTTGTTATTAATCTACTTATACTCTTTTAATGTTGTAACTGGACCGGCTTTATTTAGCTTCATAGTTACAAGAATATGTGAACTTACTAAATAGGTGTGATTTGTACCAGAGGCTAGCAGCGTATATTCTGGTGTTTTGAAATAGTAATTAACTATTTGCAGTACATTTAGATAATGACAAAATAAAGTTGCTCTTTAAAATTTTAACTACAGTGTAACTACTGTTGTTGTTGTTGTGTGCCTTCAAATTTCTGACTTATTATGACCCAATGGCAAACTTATCATGGGGTTTTCTTGGCAAGATTTGTTCAGAGGAAGTTTATCATTCTCTTCTCTGAGGCTGAGAGCATGTGACATGCCCAAGGTCACCCAGTGGGTTCCATGACTGAGTTGGGATTCGAACCCTGATCTCCAGCACTCAAACCACTATGCCACACTGGCTCAACTGCTTTTGCTACCTTTGAATTGTAAAGAATTATTTTTTAAAAGTATCTTTCCAAGGCACTGCTCTGCAATATGCATGTATGCTCACTTTGAAGTTAAGTTTAATGCCATTTATTTTTTGCATGTTTTGCATCAAATAAAGTGTAATGTTAAATATATATTTGCACCTCATGTCTGGATTTCTCCTTTTTATATTTTCAAATAGAATAGGGACAGCATGTGTAGGGGGTGAGGAGTTAATATGGATCTGATCATGGTATGTTTTGCAGTATTTAAGCCCATGAAAATCCTCCTTCACCACCCCTGAAACTGCTGTTTGCAGCATTATTTTTTAATGTTAAGATTAATTTGTATACTTTGGTCACAAATACTTTTGAGATTCCAGACAGCACAGATCAATTCATTCAGCTTTCTGGTTTTGCATTGTTACACATTCAGGACTGGTTTCATCATCCAAGAAGAGTGTGTCTCACGTGCTGAGCAGTGAAAAGGGTGGAAATGTTGCAGTGATTGTAATTGGAGGAGCGGAAGAGTCTTTGGATGCCCGTCCTGGAAGTTTAACTCTTAATATTCTCAAAAGGAAGGGGTTCATTAAAGTAGCCTTGAAACATGGGTAAGTTCCAAACTTAAACTTTCATAACAAATGTGTAGCACAGGACATTGACATAGGACATTATCACACGTGGCCCAGAAACTGAAAATAAAGTGG